ATTCTCAGATCCAAATCTCTAATGACTGCACAGAGCCTCCCTCAGCACAAAATGTTAAAAAAAGAGAAGCAAGGTGCTGTTTGAACCCAGCGTGTGTTCCCCTCTGTAGATCTGTGTTCACACTGAGTTGTAGTTCATAAATGCAAATGACCCAAAGGTCACATCCCAAGTTTCTAGAGAACTTAATGCTGGCACCAGAGGGTGTGCCAGGACTAGAGGAGGCTGGCAAAGTGCCTGTACCAACAAAGCCTACAGATGGTTGCCAGAGAGAAAGGGAGGAGAGAAGAGGGTGTGGGTTTGGGCTTTTTGGGTGGGTTTTTGGGGGGTTGTTTTTTGTTTGTTTGTTCCTTTTGGTTTGTTTTCTTTAAGTGGTCAGGGCTATGTAAGACAAGGAAACCAAATAACCTCTGGGACTCCCACATGAGATCATCAGGAGGATTAGATCTAGCACAGTCAGCTCCTACTTTACTGCCTCCTGCAGCCTTCAGTGCGGGGACAGGCAAAGGGGCTTACTTTAACCGCTTTTTCTTTTTTTTTTTTTAATCCTGAATAAACCAAGATCCAATTAATGCTGCAAACCTACAGTTACCACGCATGTGAGGAACTCGTTCAGCCTACTTGCTTCTATTAAGTTATTTATATACAATCTTATTTGAACGAGTTTCAAATTGCAGCTTCTGCTGTGAAATAAAGCAGCTGAACAAATGAACACTGAATAGCGGGGGTTTAGATCAAGAAATTGGAAATACTGGGCAGTACAACGCAGGGCAGATCTATACCAATGGGTATAGAACTACTACGGTTAGTTTATGGAGAGTCAGGTGGTTTTCTTCCCTTCCACCTGCTACACTACAACAGCATGAAAACATGCACTTTTACATCAACAGCAACAGAAGAGAACACGATTGATAGAGCTGTTCCAGCCATGTTCTGAAACTGCAGAAGGGGTTACCTGCAAGACTAGGAAGTGGAGAGGAAGTGTAAGATAAAACACAAGAGTCACAAACAGAATTGATGTGATGGCATACTAGAGAGATGGAATAAAAATATGGAAAAAAATCAAGAGTCTGGCCAAACTACTCTTAAATACTTACCTTAAATACTATAAAAAGTACTGTGAAGCTGTAGGGATCAGATTCCTACGCTCGCTCTCATATTCAACATGTAAATTGGGAAAAACTTGAGGATAATCAGTCAGTTTTAGAGCAACGCCAGGTCAACAGGAGTCCTGGGGAGAGCAGAGTCACCCTCTTTTGAGCCACCAACACTATCTGCAGCACTGTGTCTCAGGACAGGCTTCGTATGAGCATCAGCTCTAGCTACTTTGGCTTGTGAGCCACTGGAAAAAAACATTGCAAATGGATACGCTTACAGTTGCAATCACACACAGTGATGAGGGAAATGTCATCAGAAACACCTTTTTTGGAGGTCCTACATTTATATGGATACTGAATGCTACATATGGCCTATATTCTTGTAGACAGGAATCCTGTAGTTTTTACTTCAGTTTTATAACCTTGAGACAACAACATACATGGAGGTCACTATCTTCATTTTATAGTTTTCTGTCACCAACAGAAAATAAATAAATAAACAAGCAAACAATCATAGACCAAACCAGAAGACTGACTTGGATAAAACCCCCTCTCCTGAATCCCAGTCTGGTCCCCCACCTGCTCTGCCTTGCAACTTAACGTTTAGCTACATTTTAATAAGGAATGAGACATGTTGTTTAAACGTACCCAAAATGACTCTCTGGGTCACCAGAATGTCCATGTTCTTAGACAGGACAGCTTCTGAGAAGGGGGGCCAAATGTCCATCAAGTCTGATGGCAAGGTGGTTAGCTTGTTGCTGGATATGTCCAGGTAGGTGAGGTTTCTCAGGTACCGGCCAGCATCGGTGGGAATGCTGGTCACTTTGTTGTTGTGTAAATCAAGAGTCCGTAGGTTGGGCATCTCTGCCAGCGATTCCCAAGGGAAAGTTGAGAGCAGATTACCATCCAGCCGTAGCTCATGCAGTTGTTTCAAGTTATAGAAACTGCTGATATCGATGTTGGCTACACAGTTGTAAGTTACCCACAGGTATTTGAGATCTACTAGGTAGTAAAAGGCTTCAGTTGGAATCCTTCGTATGACAGTTTTCTCTATACGAAGTTTTACAGTATCCACAGGAACATTCACAGGGATCTCATACATGTCAGGATCATTACAGAGCACAGACCTAGCATCAAAAGAAAAAAAAGAAGGAAATAAAAAAAAAAAATTGGCATTTATCATAAATTTGTATTTCAGATTTAAATGCAAGTGCTATTACTTTCTGCAACACTACTAGCAGAATACAGAATGTCAAATCAAGAACAGTCCTCTGCATTTAAAAATTGAAGAGATAAACATGGATTTTCTAATGAGAAAAAGCATACGAAGTAGCAATGACACTTTCACATGAAATCTAGATTTGCTTTATCCTAAAGCATGTGAAGACCACCTTCTGTCCATCATTCTACTGACAACTGAAAATCAGAAGCCATTGTATAAGGAATAATACATGCATGTATCTCAAGTGGGAACTGCATGCCATTTATTTTACTAAAATTCAGAATATTGGATTATTAATTTCTATTTTTTCTGCATGATGAAGATTCAAAGTATTTTTGTGTCTATATTTACTTTTCAGAATAGACTGAAAATAGAAAATATTGACATAATTCTCTAAAGGAGAGCTTCGTAGCCCTATTTCTGGTGTGCATATAGAAATTACCTGCTTCTTAGATGTGCTAAGAACTTTCTGCTCCTGTTGATTTCAGTGAAACGGGATTTTAGCATTTTCAAGAATCAGTATGTTTCCATTTCTTTCAGGTACATTGTTTGCACATATCAGCTCGAAGATTCCCTTCTCCTCAATAAGCCTATCTTTCATTTTTTCCCCCTTTTCTCTATATTCTCCCTCTATTTTACTTTCTCTTCATGCAGCGTTATACTAGATATGTTGTAACAATAAGTAGCACTGACAAACGTATGTCCCAAAATTGACATGACAATACCCAGATTGTCAAATTTCAAATCAGTCTCTTTATTACCAAAAGTTACATGATTTTCCTGCAGATTAAAAAAGAATAAACTACTGTTTTTATTTAAACCAGAATTGCCTTACAGTAGACAACTAGTTTGTAGAAATAGAAAGGACATTACCATAGTAGGAAAATCACGGAGCAGAAAGAAATTGCCTGCTGCAAAAACTGAAGATTTAGAGTAGCTATTTGCTAAGTACAAAGCCATAATCGCCATCTGCTCCTGTTCAGGAATGCTGCTAGCCATATAACACCAGAGTAAGACACACCTTTATTTCAACTATGCTAGAACTAATTTGCAATGCATGAGAACGTTATTTCCAATTTCTTCAAACCTTTTCCTTATAAATTGCCTTGAAAAACAAATAATAAAATATTTACCTTGTTCCAGTGCCATCACTTCTGCCATGGTAAACGCAAGTGCATTGTGAAGGACAAAAACCGTGCACTTCTTCAAAAAAGCTCATTAGGAGGTAGAAGTAAATAAACAGATACATGGCTTCCTCCCAGCAGAACTGGTATGAAAAAATTTGAAAACTTTATTCCTAGGTACTCATGTGCAGTGTGCTACGAATGTGAATGTAGACATCCATTTAGTAACAGCAGATTACATCAGATTAGCCGAGATCTGTAGTTGCTTAACCTTCAAATGTATCCTAAAAGGGATCAGTTAAACCAGCTGATTCTTTATTCTGTCAGAAGAACACACTCTGTTTCAAACATATCCACAGCACGTTTCAAGGCTATTTTAATACGTAGAGCTTGTAGGGTTAGTATGTAATAAAATATCTCTTTGCTCCTTCTAAGAGGCAATGCATTAGTTACTGTACAGCATGAGGATATTGCATGGCATTTTCTTTAATACTAAAAATTATAAATTAATAGGAAGCCAAGATTCCAGAGCTTTTAAAAAATCCTGTAAAAGCAAGTTTTTACCAAAAAAGCCATGTGTATTTTAAATAAGTTACACGTTGCAAAGCCAAACTTCATTCATGCATACATAATAATAGAAGATATTTATTCTCAAAATCTGAGAATCAAGAGTGCATATACTATCATTCATAAATAGATCTACACATAGTCATCTCTTCCATCCTGAATAAATCCATTGCTCACATCGTCAAAGGTAGTTTTTGAAAATTACACAACAGTCCTATATGACCATAAGATTGTCTTTGAAATTACCATCGTTACTCAGTTTTATGTGCCTCCCAAGCGTCAAGCTTTAGGATGCATTTTGTCTCATTTTCAGGATTTGCTGTGCAGTCACAAGTACTAGAAACGTACTATTACTAAAACAAAAGCCATCTTTCCTACAAATTCATTTGGTCGTGTGAGGCAAAACTTCAAAAATACATTAAATATCCTGAAACTCCTTCAAATTCCTAACAGCTAATAACAGGTTCTATAGAGTTTGGCTAGATATTTTGATATCTTAATGCAGAAACAGCACTTTAGAAGGCACACCAACACGGACACTTGGTATAGAAATACACTCACACAGGGAGAATCCAGAGTATTTCAAGTCTGGAAAACTTTCAAGGGAAGTTGAGGGAAAGTAACTAATTAAAGGAATTACAGGTGCAAAATCTATGTTACTGAACTTAAGCACTTCCTGTTTCAGCCTCTCCCTGCCCCCGTGTCACCTTGTTCAATCCTGTAAGAGTCACAGTGAACACTTCACTAGCCTTTTTTGTTTGGGACAGACATATTGGGCCAATAAACCTCACTCTCAAAAACTAAAGTCTTAGTGGTTTTTGTCTTTTTTTTTTTTTCTTTTTAACCTATCTAAAAAAGATTATTGTGATTAATAGAAAACTGCTGGCTGGGGCAGATTATTATTCCGAAAGATTAATCTTCCAAAAGATTAATTAACTTTCACCCAGATTTCACGCCTTTCCATGTAACTTATGCAGGCCAATGACATGAGTTCTATGATGTCAGTGCACTTTGAGATACACTCATGGGCAAGGCATTGTTAATAGTTATCTCTTGTCTTGTCTGACATCGCACCATTGCCAGGATTGCCCTCCGAAACCTGTAAAGGACAAGAAAGGAAAAGCAGAAAGATCGTTAGCTGGAGAGCCAAATACAAAAGAAAAACTGAATAAGCTGGCCATAAGTATTACAACAGTTTTCAATTTTAGTAAAACTTACTTAATAAAAAATGTGTACTTGGAATTCAGAAGGACCTGAGTCTTTTTCACTTCCACGTACAGGAATAACTCAGTTAAGCTCTGTATCTCTTCTACAACAGAGGTTGCAGCAGCTTTTGCTTGTGCCAGGACAGCGTATAGCCACGACAAAGATGAACTTACAGAACAGGGTAAAAATGAGATAGTTTTTCATTGACTCAGCAGGATCAGATAAGGTCGCCCAAGCTCTGGTAGTAGAAAAAGGAAGCATGCCTCCTTGCAAAACCCAGTTCCCAGTCAGAGGTGCTGGGTTGGTTAGAGCATTTGATATGCTTGCTTAAAACAGAAGAATAGACTTCACTGATTTACTTTAACGAAAAGTGTCAATCCATCCTAATCAGTCAGAATATGACACATCCCAAATCAAGCAAGGAAATCCACAGAAGTTACATGTCACTAAGCCGACACACATTTTGGTCACAGTCATTAAAACCAGTCTACTGCTGATACAACCCAAATTCCATGAGTGCCTTTGAGAAACCACAAAGGGACTTTCAAAACTGTCTTAGAACAAAAGCTTCACTAATGTCTTTAAAATCTTTATCAATTCAATAAGTTCTGATGATGATCAAAACAATTTCTTTTAGACTTTCCTGTTCAAAAGGTCATCTTTGGTAAATCAACAGTGGCTTACCCTTTGATCCCTTCACTAATCAGTTTGTCACATGCTACAGATGATCATTCCATAGTTATATGATATGCTAAAATCATGAAGTAGACTGGTACTAAATTAGGAGCACTTACTTTTTGTTTGCAATTACATAAATGCAGGGATTATAGAATGTGGAAGATTTTGCAAACAGAGGAGCTATGATGGCCATTGCAGGAGAAATTGTCTTTGGATCTCCAAAGGAAGACCATAAACACACAACAGAATACGGAGACCATGCCACCAAGAACATTACAATCATCACAACAGACATCTGTAAAACAAGAGGAACATAGCCCATATTACCTGAAGATTACGACCTCACAACCTAACCTCAAAAGCACATGCACCTGTGTGAAAATAGAGCTATCCAGAACCAAATAACAACACATAAACAAGCACACCTGACAAATTCTGACAGGTTATACTGGAATCTCACTTAGGGGATTTAATATCTCATCACACTGCCATTTATTTTGGCATGCTGTTATTTCATTATATACAATCATCCCTCACAGTCAGCACTACTGATTATGTTAAATCTGGCCATCAAAAGTTTACATGGCCAGAGAGGACTCCAGAAAGGATTTCACACATGAATTATGACCACCACTTCAGAGCTGGAAATGCACTGCAAGCTATCAACAAATCCCCTCCTTCAAACTGCAGGTTACCTTAGCTGTATTATTGTTTTTATTATCATACATATCTGAAGAGCTGCAGTCTGATATCCACCAGAGGATGGCTATCCATCCCTATGAAAAGAAAATGCTACATTTACAAATGGTCAGGTAATCAACACGATCTGAGCCATAGGAGACATCAACTTTGAAACAAATCACCTTAGTTTAACTACTTCCTAGCTCCTTCCTCTGTTTTCTGTTCAGGTGTAAACAACCTGAAATCAATTTTCTGACCTTGCTAGTGAAAAGATGATAAAACTGCTTCCTGAAGACAAAATGCTCTATCAGAATGACAGATTCCCTTTCAAAATAGACTTGACACAGACATCAACAAAAAGAAGTTCCAATATAACCTCTTTTTGCCATTCTGAAGAGCCCAAGTAGAAGGAATCCAGCAAAAACCAGGTCACACTGGGATGTTACTACAAACAATAAATATGAACAGAGAGAAAAATCTAAGCCAAACAACCAACCTAATAAAAATGTTTCATAAGGCTTAACTACAGAACAGTTAAATAAAAGAAAGTAAATTTTCCAGGACACAAAGATTCAGTTCCGTATACTTAAGGAACCCAGAAGTGTCTGCTTGGTTTAATGAAATGTGATAGCCATGCTCAAGCATCATACTGAGGAGAGATCTGAGCAGTCATCTGTCATCTTTGCCTGCCTGCCAGAGAGACCAATGTGGGCACGCTGGGGCTCACACCCCAGAACACACCATGCCACAGCTAGAATTGAACAGCAACAAACTGGGGGTACTGGGAGAGCAGGAGAGGAATCAACCAGGACAGACTTTCCTGGCTTTTGTCAGGAACATGAATCAGTAATGGAAATCTTGAATTAATCAAGAGGACAAAACAAATCACTAGAAAACAAAACAAAACTGCAGGGCTCTCTGTATGTACAGGATTCCCTAGTGTATTTTACCTTTACCCTAATTCACTCTT